AGACTGCAGTGGGATCACTCTATCTGTGGTCCAAATCAAGCCATCAAGTTTGCAACCTGGAACATTTACACCTTAATGGGCAACACTAACAGTGACTGACTGGAGCAAAGGATGGCACTTGTGGCCAGAGAACTTGCACCATTTGATACTAATATTGCTGCACATAGTGAGACCATGTGCACAGGAGAGGGACAACTCACAGAGCATGGTGGTGGCTACACCTTCTTTTGGAAAGGAAAAGCCAAAAAAAAGACAAACACATACACGGCATTGGTTTTGCTGTCAATGCCAAGATTATTACTCAGATGATAGAATGTCCAGTTGGCATCAACAAGCATCTCATGACCTGTTGTCTTCTACTGACTAACAGACAACAAGTAATAGTCATCAGTGACTATGAACCAACCCTTAATGTACATAACGAAACAAAAAAAGAATGACATTTTAAACCAAGTCGTGTCATCTGTACACAAAAAAGATACGGTAATTTTTATACTAGACTAAGCAGAGAGTTATGAAAAGGAACACATGGAAAGGAAGAAGTGGAGAAAGTAAAATCAAATGGAATTCTTTTTCCAACCTAGTGCTCCGAACAGAATCTCATAACCCCCTTATTTCGCCAATGCAACAAATGGAAGATCTCATGAACAACATTTGATCATCAGCATTTCATCATCAATATTTGATATGTTCCATCATATCCATTTGTGTTGCCCCAAAATGATGCAAACAAAAGAAACTACCAAGAAAGAGATTCAATATTGAGCACTTGAAAGAGCCTGCTACAAGCAATGAGCTCCAGCAGTAACTCAGTGATAAACTCCCTGATCTCCCTTTTGATTCGACACCATTGGTTAATTAGAGAGTCTGAACAAAGGCATCCATGAGGAATATGAAGATTCTCTAAGCTTCTCCGGAAAGAAACATCATGACTGGTTTGATGATTATGATAGGGAAATACAAGCTCTCATTGACTGAAAAAGAAGAGTCTTCAAAGCTTCATAGAATACATCAATTCCAAAAAGCAGCAAGATAGTCATCGCCACATCAAAGCTGAGGCCCAGAGAAAAAATTGAGAGCAAAGTAACAAGTGGTGGGAGGACAAAGCAAGAGATTCAAAAGTCTGCGGATAGCCATGACATGCATAGTTTCTTTAGTATAACCAAAGCTATATATGGGCCAACCATACCAGGAGCCATCCCTCTCAGCTCCAAGGATGGAGCAACACTCCTTAGATGCAACTCCACTACCACCTGATACTGGAATGAGCCACTTTCAAGAGTACCTAAACTGAGATGCTAATATCAAAGAGAATAACATCAAAGCCATTTCACAACACCCCACTAAGAACTACCTTACAGATCCACCAATTTATCAAGAACGTGCGAAAGCCATTAAGCAGAAGAATAACAACAAAGCATGTGACCCTGATGGAATACCAGTTGAAATTTACAAGCAAGATGGAAAAAGCTCCCTCACCAACTACACATCATTATTATGAAAATCTGGAAATGGGAACAGATACCCAGCGACTTGAGAGATGCCAAAATCATGACCATATTCAAGAAAAGAGATGGATTAGATCGCAGCAAATATGATATTGTACTCCTATCCATAGGTGGCAAGATCTTTGCCTTCATTCTCCTCTATAGCTTCACTTTTCTCACTGAGATTCTAGCCACATCCCAATATGATTTCAGACCATTCAGAAGCACAGCAGATATGATCTTCGTTGCTAGACAGCTGCAGAAGTACCATGAGCCTTCAATGACATGACTAAAGCCTTGATTCAATCAACAGAGGTCCTATGGACGATTCTGATGAGGTGCATATTCCTGCCAAAGTTTGTTACCATTACCAAACATCTTCATGATGACACGACACAAACTGGAAACTGAACCCTTCACTATCAGAACTGAAGTCAAGCGAAGACATGTGATTGCACTAACACTCTTTTCCATCAATTCAGTTATTCCACAACTCATTGCTGACAGACTTCTACCAGGAGTCAGCATCAAATATTGCATGGATGGGAACCTCTTTAATATCAACCAACCAATTACCTTTGAAATCCAAGATAACCAACACCTCTATTATTGATCTTCAGTATACTAATGTTTGTGTCATGTGTCCTCACTCAGCTGAAGAGCTCCAGGTCACTCTTGATTGCTTCTGTGAAGTATATGAAATGCCTGAACTGTCAATTTAACAAAAACCAAGATACTTTACCAATCCACCCCAAACCAACCAGCTACTCCTCCACACCTTTAAATTACAGGTCAGTCCTTGGAGAATGTTAATCATTTCCCCTACCTGGATACCCACCTTTCCAAAAAAGTATACATAGACAACACTATTCAACACCAGATAAAATCTACCAGTGTTGCACCCTGATGTCTCCAAAATTGTGTCATGACATCAGGACCCAAACCAAACTTCTATCACCTTGTTGTCATCTCTACCCTGTTGCATGGGTGTGAAACTTGGATGACGTATCACAAACACTTAAAATCTTTTGAATGTTACCATCAGTGACATCTTCAAAAAATCTTATATATCAACTGGAAGGACAGAAGAATGAATGCTAGTGTTCTGGCTCAAGCAAAAACCACCACCATCATTGAAGCCATATTTGTATGGCACTAGCTCCATTGGATAGGACATGTCATAAGGATGCCTGACAACCAACTCCTAAATCAGGTCAGATACTCCCAAATCACCAATTGTCACCACTCTAGAGGTAGGCAAAAGAAGAGATTCAAAGATGACTTGAAGGCCAGTCTGAAGAAATGTGATATTAACAGCAATACCTGGGAGACTTGAGTCATCCCCAAGGACACCATAATGTACAACAAGAACATTTTAAGCAAACTCAACTAACTATGGAAGCAGATAGACAAGAGAGACAAAGGGAGAGAGCTGTAGTCTGACATCACCAGGATCCACTCCTTCCTCCTGGAACTATTCGCCATGTATACAGTCAAACATGTGGAATTCAGATAGGCCTCCTCAGCCATCTACGGACACACCAATAACTTCCCTATTTACTGTAAGACTGCACCATCTGAAGGACTGAATCTTCATCTTGAGGGACTGTAATTGCTGTATTATGCTGTAATTGTTTGATGATCCTTCTAATTGGTTCCAGTGTGGGGTGGTACGTGACCACTAAGTGTGTGTGGTTACAGCAGGGTTTCTTTTTTGTATTGTAGCAGGTTATTGTGAAGTATTTGGATGGCTCTTTCAAAGATAGTCTATTTTTCTATTGGGGTGTTCTTGCCTTATGAAGGCAGATTTCAGGCAGGATTCTTGTTCCCCTAGTTAGTTATTTCACTTTAAAAATAGCAAGACATTTCTATACCAGGAATGCTTTAGGCCCCTGATGGACATTCAGTTTAAAGCACAATGGGAATCTAAGCCACGATCCCAACAGTCACACCTCCTGCCATGCCATACCTGCATGGCAGGGCATGCAATTTTGGGGCTGGGGGCTAGATCTCTATTGCACATTACTTGTCAGTGCAGGGGGAGCTCAGAATCATCATCAGTAAGTTTTAACCCAAGTGCTGACAATCAGTTGATTATCAGTTGGGGCTGGGGAATGAACAAGAACCTGAAGCTGGCTGCAGTCACATCCCCAGGCCCATACAGGCCTGTATGAAACCCCAGTTGGGGTTTTAACTGAGCCCCAACTCACAGGGAACCCTGCAATTGGGCTGCCACAGCCCAAGCCCTGGCTCCCTGTGAGCTGGGGCTGTGTTAAAACTCTGTGTGCCATCCAGCTGGGTGGCCCACAAGGTTTTAAAGGTCATTGTGCATGGAGTCCCTGGGATTAGGCTGCCAGGACAGTTGTGTCTTGGGAATGAGTGTTGGAATCTGTCATGAGCTAGCCCCAACTGGCTACACATTCAATTTTAGGCAAGATACAAGCAAGCCACAACATTTTTATAACAACACAAAACAGGAATAACTTTGTAGCTTGTTAACTCTACCATGCTTTAGATGGACTTTAACGTGTGGCCAGCTTACTATTTAAGGTATGATTAATCTGTTAATTGTGTCTTAAAATGTAACAGCTGTCAGGGGCATTAGTGTTTCCAAAATAAAACATTATGGGATTTCAGTTCTACAAAAAACTTTTGGGGTTTTAGCAAAAACTTCTGAAAACTCATAACTTTTTTTGAAACTAAGATTTCATTTTATCACCAGTTTCATTAACAATTCCACAGCTCTATGTCTAATTAGAGAATCAGAGCTAACAATTATACAGCCTCAGAACTATCCTATAAAAGTCTCTGGGCAAAGCATGAGGACACAACGGCTGACCCTCTTGGTATTTCTAAGGTAAAAAACATGTGGTTTCTGTTCCACCCCTAAGCACTATTACTATAGGAAATATTAAACAACAGTGGAAGAATGTTAAAAGAATAAGGAAAGTCCAAAAAAGAAAATACACAAAACCCAAATTTTATTTTTGTCAGACTTCTTAAGTATCAAATGCTGTGTCTAGCTATACCTACTGAAAAGGGAAGGTTTAAATGCCAAGAATGTAAAAGAAAACTTGAAGGAACTACGGATTATCTTAAAGTTCCTTAGGTCTATTGGCCAAATGGGTTAAAAAAACAAAACAAACAAGAAATGAAATGAAAACCTCATTGGAAAAAAATGCTAGATCAATATTTTCTACCTTTTTAAGTCTATGAATGATAAAGCTATTTTATTTGCTTTTTGGAGCACACACCTAAATTCCCCTCATTCAGTGTTTGAGATAAAATCTGTTGCTACAACTAATCCTTTTTGTATGTTACTCACATTTAGAAGTCTCTAAAAACACCAAGTGAAGTATTTATTGAATTCTAAAACAAGAACAACCTGGAAGGATCCAGTAGAATGATTATTTCTAAAGATTCCCAACTCTGGACTGCGAGGGTATCAATGCATTTACTTTTACAGGACTCTGACACTGGCTCAGGTAATGATTCATTTATAGCAGTACTCACCAGGCCTGCTGAATGTGGCTGGGAATGCAATGACCTCATCGATGACATACTGGTCTGGTGCATGTATCCATACCCTTGTGACTGACTTTGCTGATATGCCCCAGGAAGCACAGGGGCTGTGTATTAAAGAAATAAGGAAACATTACCACAACAGTTAAAATTATTCCATTATTCCCATGTCAAGCCTTTGATGCAACTTCTCTTAGCAGTTGCTGGTAGCTGTAGATTGGTCTCCTGACTAGGAATCTGCAATGCAAATGGGGATTCATATTCCAAAAGACAGGTGATTAAAATCAGTATAGAATTTTTTTAAACAACATACATATCGAAAACAAGCTTTGTGTAAGTTAAGTGAAAATCAAACTGCAGCAGAACATTGGTTAGTACAGTGATTCTCAACCAGAGTGCTATAGCACCCTGGGGTGCTGGGAAAATCCTTTGAAAGGTGCTACCATGTGTGAAGAGATGAGTCAGGTATGAGGAGATACGCAGATAAGTGCAGGCTAGGCTTGATCCTGCCTGGCCCCACTGCAAAGAGATAAATACTGTAATAAATATATTCGTTTTTCAAACAGTGTGGCTCTCAATTCATAGAAGTCATGGAGGGGTGTCTTAAGTCTAAAATGGTTGAGAACCACTGGGTTAGCATCACGTAACTGAAAGGAAGATGGCAAGCAAAAAGGCTTAAAAGACCTCAAGGAACTCGAGCACATTGGATACAGCAACATTAAGAGATTCTTAATTATTTAGTTAATTTGGGACTTTGAAACTATCCTAAGATGAGACTGTAGGGAAGAATATCCTGACACAGAGTTCCTATGATTTTTTAATTTAAAAAATAATCATTATAAAACTGAACACTAAAATACATTTGAAATATTTTAGTAAAACTGTTTAAACGATTCATTCTTAATAATAGTATTAAGCACCTTCATTTATAGCCAAAGCAGCAGTTTTCAAACTGTGTTCTGTAGAACCCTGGGGTTCCATGATATGCCATCAGGGATACAGCAAAGAGACTGGGAGTAATGATGAAGCAGGATGGGAAGCAGTACACTGCCACTGCAAGGCAGAGCTGCCTGGCTCCATGTCAGTCTTTAGGATAGGGGTATGGGGTCAGCAGCAGCAGGCGTATGAAAAGGTTTAATTACCAAAGAAGGCCTATTGCATAGGGATTGATGAAAATGTTTAGCAGTTATGAATGTAATTTGATCAATTAGTTTATGCTGATACTATCAATATCCACACCAGAGATTAATCAAAATTAATTAATTGCAAATCTTTATTTCTGCCCCTTTCCTTGTCCTCAGCCTTCCATTATCCTCTTCTCACCATCTCCCTTCTCTCCCACACCCTTTTTTGTTCTTGTTGTTACTGTCATTAGTTGGGACTTTGCCAATCCTGTAAGATCTTGAAGGCGAGTCAACAATGTAGTATAGTTTATTGTATCAAAATCTGATGAAAGACAGGGTGGATAAAAATCAATTATTATTTTTTTAAATAAAAAATTGGATTTTTATTTAAATCAGATTTTGTTTATTTAATCATATTTTTTATTTTTAACATGCTATTTTAAAAAAATAAACCTATATAAAGATAGTTTTAATTTGTGTTAAAGCTCAAAGATATAATCATGGAATAGGGATTATAAATTTAATTATATAGCATTTGAGACAATATATTCATGTAACCATTTTAGAAGTTTTATAAATAGGTCACAAAAGGCCATGGACTATATTAGGGGCTCAATCTTATGGGGTTCCCAGAAGCTCCTCTATAAATTACTAAAAATTAAAGAAAACCACTCTACCCAATGGGACTCAGTGCTCAGTCTAGAACAGGGGGTTTCAACCTTTTTGTATCATTGTACCCCCCAGTGGCCAGATGCGGAGCAGTGTACCCCCGGTCACCGATCTGGGAGGGGAGGGTGGGTGGCCAGATCCAGAGCAGTGGCAGCTGCCATATGTGAGCTTCCTCCGCATGTGCCTGGGTGGGTGGCGCTTGCACAGGATGCTACGTGGCAGTGCTCTGTCCCCGCCTGCCCATGCATACTCCCTAGGGCCTTCTCAAGTACCCCTGGTGGTACACATACCCCTAGTTGACAACCCCTGGTCTAGAAGATCCCATCAATGATCTCTGTGATGTTTAGTTTCAGTTCTCATACTGTGGATTTGTGTTCCAGAGGCAACATCCTCATTGACAGCAATATATGGCGATGAAAGAGACCTTATTACCTACCCATCAGCCCTATTGTTTCTCTGCAAGTTTGTGTACGAAGACTCAAACCCTTACTTCTCTCTAAATGTACAAAGTTCCCAGAAGTTAAATGAATAGAGGATTGTTGGGGTTGGAGTAGATCTAGGCAAGAGAAGAAGCCTGGAGATAAATGCAAGGAAGGAGAGGCAGTAGAAACAAAAGAGAATCATTTTGAGAAGAATATTTCAGAAGCCTTGAAGGATAAGTTTCTGAGTATAGCCTCTCCATTGATTTGAGATCTAGTGAGGGAATGGTATGGTAGAAGGAAAAACCTATCATGGCAGCAGACTTGTCAGGCCTTAAGAGAGATCCTATTTGGGAATATTTTAATGAAGTTCCTCTACCTCTGAGTAAGAGAGGCATGTGTGCAAAATGCAAATAGTGCAACAAAGAAATCCAAGGCGTGCTTGCCCAAATGAAACAATATCATGAGAATTGCTCCTTCTCAGGAGGAAGCTGCTTTGAAGACTTTGAAGATGATGAATGGAACATGTCTGAACATGCAGGATCTCCAGGTTAGTAAACTTGCTTATTTCATACTTCTTTCTTAAGGACTCCCTGTCTTCCCTGTATATATCTTTTGGGTGGACTTCAGGACTATTTGAATTTTCATTAAAATGTTTGAGCAAAAATGTATTTGTTACTGTATGGAACTATCATATTTTAATGCAGTTGTGATATAAAATGATGGCTGAAATAGGCTTTTTTTGTTTGTTTTTGTTTTTTGTTTTTTATAGTTTCACTTCTAAAGCAGTACTGAGTGCAATGAGTAATACTAAATGAGCAGTACTGTAGTGACTGCATTGACTTCTTTTGTTCAAGAGGATCCACCCTTAATGTACAGGATTCTGACTATCCATCGTCAACATCATCATCACTGTCTACAGTTTCAGAGTTATCTGCTAATGATACCGGTGTTCCAGCCAAATGCATGTCACACAGTATTCACCTGCAGCAAAAAGAAGAAAAAAAATCTCCATCCAGGAACAACCATACACAAGTCTGTAATAAGAACCTGCAGATTACAGCAATACATCAATTACCTCATTGATGAAAAAATTGCTTGGTTTGTTTTCATTTATGCAACAAACTGTCCTTTCCATATGGTTGAGAACACATACTTTATTGACATGGTTCGGTTATTACAACCAGGATATAGTCCACCCAACAGAGCAGATATAGCAGGCAGATTGCTAGATAAAATGTATGAGAAACAAATTGAACAGTGTGCAAAAAGTCTAGAGGGGAAAATTGTTAACTTGGGTCTTGATGGGAGAGGCAATGTCCACAATGCTCCTGTAATATGTACTTCTGTGACAACAGAAGAAGAGACTGTCTACCTTGCAAAAACAATTGATACATCAGGAAATGCACGCACAGCAGACTACATGCAAGAAGTAGCAGCAAAAGCTATAACAAACTTGGGAAAAAAATCAAACGTCTAGTATGAAGCTTTGTCACAAACAATACTGCAAATGTATCAATGATGAGAATAAATCAAGAAGTAAAGAAAGCCCCAAGCTAATAACATATGAATGCAGCACTCATTCGATGCACCACTTAGCCAAAGATTTCAGGGCTCCAGAAAAAAAGGCTAATATTGAAATTGCAAAATACTTCCATGACAACCCTTTGCAGCAACTGCTCTGAAGAAAGCAGAAGGAACCAAACTAGCTCTCCCATAAGACATGTGATGGAACTCAGTAATTGACTGTTTTGACCAATATATTGAGAACTGGCCTAATATGATAATTTGTGAACAAAATCATGACAAAATAGATGGAACTGTCATAGCCAAAGTTCTCAACATTGGGCTAAAGAGAAATGTAGAATGTAGGGTGACTATCCTGAAGCCTATTACTGTAGCCTTGAAAAAAGTGCAGTGAAATTGCTGTTTTATTGCTGATGCTGTTGAAATTTGGAAGGAACTGAGACCTCAAAAAGAGAAACACACAATGACAGAGTTAAATTACAGGCATTAAAAAAATTAATGGATCAAGCAATATCTCCAGTTCATCATCTTGTCAATATTCTCAATATTTGGCACCAGGGTCAATCCTGAACTGCTGGAGAGAAGCTGGCTATGACATGGGCACCAGTAGTTATCCCTCCATAATTCCAAATATAATAAATTTCAGGACTAAGAGTTAAACATTCAAGAAATATATGTTTTCTGATGAGGTTTAAAAGAAAGTCACACCAGTGAATTGATAGAAGTCACTTAAGCACCTGGATCCATCAGAGACTATTGAAGTGATAATCCAGCTTTTCAAAGCTGTAGCTTCTTGTGCAGGTGTAGAAAGAATATTTTCTTCCTTTGGACTAATTCATTCTAAATTGAGAAATCACTTGGGAACCAAAAAAGCAGGAACAGATTTGGGGGCACGTGTCCCCCTGCCCCCCACCCCCAGGAGTGTGTACAGAGATGGGGAGCCACCCTTGCCCCCCACTCACCCCCCACAGGGATCCTCCATGCCCAGTGTGAAAACCCCAGGCCAGGGGATCATGGAAACCTGCTTCTTGCAGATGCAGGTGGAACCCAGGATCAGGCTCCCCCCTACACTGGCACTACGGTATAATTGGGTCTAATGCATAATCCCACAATCATGCCTTCTACCATGCACGTGGCATGGCAGGAGGCGTGATTGTGTGGATCATGCATTAGATCCAATTCTGCCTTTACCTGCACATGTAGAGGGCCTGAAAGGGATTCTTTCAAAACCAAGTGCAACTTAAATGACTTTTTGTAGCTTTCTCAAGTCATCTTTTTAAGGGACAGTAGAGAGTCATGACCACAATTGCCAAGGTTGTTAAAATTCAAAGGATGAGAGCCTATTCATCTCTCATTTAAACATGGTTT